ATATTTAGAACTAACAGCTAATGAGCAGTTGAAACATTTGAAATTAAATTGTCAATTAGACGGGAAATCTTTATAAAAGTTTATTTTAATAAGCTTTCAAGCATCATCATTTTAATCAGTTTTAAAGGATTTAGGAAACAATGTTTTCTTTAAAGTTCAGTAATAATCTGTGTATTAAACTTAATAAATTACGCCAGTGCATTAGTTTTTATGGATTTCCATGTACTTTTTGTAATTTGTTCTGATTGATAAAATAAAAGGTAAATGATGATTGTGGATGCCTTGATTGGCTTCTAACCTGGTTGAGAAAACCAGTTGATTCTGTCACTAAATCTAAGTAAAATGTATCCCCAAACCTAACCTGAATCCTAAATGTATCCCTAAACCTAACCTGAATCCTAAATGTATACCTAAACTTTACCTGAATCCTAAATGTATCCCTAAACCTAACCTGAATCCTAAATGTATACCTAAACTTTACCTGAATCCTAAAATGTATCCCTAAACCTAACCTGAATCCTAAATGTATCCCTAAATCTAACCTGAATCCTAAATGTATCCCTAAACCTAACCTGAATCCTAAATGTATCCCTAAACCTAACCTGAATCCTAAATGTATCCCTAAACCTAACCTGAATCCTAAATGTATACCTAAACTTTACCTGAATCCCAAAATGTATCCCCAAACCTAACCTGAATCCTGAAATGTATCCCTAAACTTAACCTGAACCCTAATTCACGGCAACACTGAAAAGACGTCGTGGCATCCACAACTATCATTAGCCAAATTAAAAAATGTTTGCATACTTGGCAAAAAATATTTATAATCATAACAATAAAATGTTTGGGTTTTTTTTTAAGCTTCAGAAGATCTTATCAAAGTTGAAAAAAGAAGTTCAGAAGATTACAATTACAGGCTGTCCATTACAGGATACAGGTAAATTTAAATGTATTTCTTTACATATTTTCATATTAATTACACTGCCGTCACTGCCCAAGCAGCAATATTTTATAATAGAAATTTATCAATCTTTAGACTGGCGATAATTATTTTAAATTAGTTTCTTTTTTTTTTAAATAAAAAAGGATTTAGAGGCAAAGATTTGTGGAAAGCACACGGACTGGTAATTTGAAAGACAAAAAAAGAAAGAAAAAGGATCCAAACAACCATAAGAGTTTCAAAAAAATAATATTACCCCTTGTAATTTAATTTGATGATAGCAAATTATTCAGAATGTGCCATTTTCTAGTTGGGTGTGGCATGTTTAGGTAGAGGTAACCACTTTTCCCAATTTTTCAACCATTCCCCCCCCCCTTCCGAAAGAGACCTTTTAACCATGCTTTTACCCTCAGCTGGGTTATCGGTTGGTGTGGCTGTGGCTGGGTCATCGGTTTGTGTGGCTGTAGATGGTTCACGTGAGTTTGTAGGTGGCTTTCTAATCCGATCTGTGCTTGGAATAGTCTCTGGCACCGTGGCGGTGGGCAGGGGACAGTTGCTGTAATGGGTGATCTAAGGCTGCTCTTTCGGGCTAGCCTGCATGTCTAAGCTGGGGCTATCCTTCTCGCTACATGAGATATACCCCCCTTCTTGACAGCTTTGTCCTGGGCTGCCTGCAACTATTCAATGGGGTTGATGCTGAAGGCTTTTAGTGCCGCTTTCAGTAAGTCTTCGTAACCCTTTTTTTACTTCCTTGGGAGCTCTTGCCTGGCATGAGTTCTTCGAAGAATAGCTATTTAGGAAGCCGGTTGTCTTCCATGCGGGCTATGTGAGACTTCATCAGGGTGGCGAAGATGCTAGATAAGTTTGCTCTAGCCAGGACCTCTATGTAAGGCACTTTGTCATGCCACCTGATGCCGAGGTCGCTGGTTGACTTTCCTTGTTTAAGAAATGTTGAGCAATGTCAAGAGGACAGCTGCGCTATAGACCTTTATCTTCATTTCTCGTAAGATACCTCTCCTGTCCCAAACATTGCTGCGGAGTCTACCAAATATTGTACTAGCTTTTGCAAGTCTGACATTCATTTCTTCATCCATGACGACAAATCTGGAGAGGGTGCTGCCGAAGGAGGTAAATTTACCTACCGCATTTAGATGCTGTCTGATGATGATGATGCTGGATTCCACTTAGGGCTTACTGGGAGCTGGCTGATGCATCACTTCAGTTTTCTTTGTGTTGACTGTGAGGCTTTTTGCAGGCCTCAGAGAGGATATCATTTCAGTATATAATGTATATATTGATAGAGTGACAGAAAAAGAGATTTTTTTTCGGTATCTCAATTCATTTAATTGGTTGGTGCTAAATTTTGTTGTTAAAGTAACTTAAGTGTTGTTATGAAGTCTCAAAAAATTTTCAGAAGTAAATTTACATCAAGCAGTAGAATTATAGCTATAATGAATCCATGGAGCTCACTATTGTGTATGATATTTCTCGGTGCCTCTAAAATATAGGTGTGGATAACCAGGTCACTGCACCTCACTTTGGAACCACTGCTTCACCTTTAACAATAACAGTTGAAAAGGTTTTTCTAGAACGTCAAATCCATAGTGGTAATGGGAATGATATCTATGTCTAAAAATGAGTGTCAGTTGATTTAATGCAACAAAAAATTCTTTTTATTCCCTTTAATGCAGTGATTTATCCCTGGAGTTTCTTCCAACAAAAATGCAAGCTACAACAAAACTGGTTACAGGTAGGACAGGGTTTTATATTACTTTCTTTGAGTTCTCAATTTTGCTCTGGGCTAAAAACACTGACTCTTTTTTTTTATATATATTATAAAATTTTTGAAATTTTACACGATTTAATTTGAATTAATTTTTTAAATTTATAAATACACAGCCTATCGCTTCAGTAACATACTTTAAAAAAAATAATTTCAGAGATTTCTGGATGCCAAAGTGAGGAAATAAGTCATGTAAGTATTTTGTTTTAGAAAAAATGATTTATACATTTATTTTTTGGGGTGTACAACTTGTAACAGCCAAGTGAAATCTTCTGCAAAGTATAGCAAATTATTATATAATGAGCAATTTTTAAATTGTACATATTATCATGACTCACTTACTCAACGTATGACGTCCCTACTTAATTAAATTCAGAGCAACGCCTTTATATTTATAGGTATTTAAATCAATTTTTGATGTTTGCTGATTTATTACTTTGACTGCATTATATTGTTTTCTGTTAGCCTTTTGATTCTCAAATAAGTTAATGTCTTAGTGTGCTACAGTACATTTTATCTTGTTTTACATTGCTGTTAAAGCTCTAAATCAGAAAATATTTAACCATGCGAATGCCAAGTTTAAAAGTATTGATTCGGGGTCCATTTTTCAGACGTGTTTACCCCCAGACTCCAAAAATCGTACAATATTATCACAAAATCGTTCAATACCTTATATTTATAGAAAAAATAAACATACAGTATACATATTAACACCTCAAAATCGTACATTGTACGCCAAAATCGTAAGAGTAAACAGGTCTGATTTTTAAGTCACGCTATTTTGTTCAATATTTCACCCCCACCCCCCTTTTCACATCTCAAAAATTAAAGAGACCTTCAGTATGCATCATCTAAAATATGTAAATATATATATTTCTAAATATCTGAATTACGAATGGCCCGCTAAAATACAATTTTTAAATCCCATATTTAAATAAACCTTTTAATCTGTATTCCTATTATTTAGAACTTCCCTACTCATATTTTGATGGTTGCGATTTTATATTAATGTTACAATTATGTTTAAATACTTTCTAGAGTCATCCATTAAGAGTACTGGTTGAGCAATTAAAAGAACTTTGGAATGGAATCCAAAAAATCAGCGGAAATAAGCTGACAATTGAGCTGAAGAGCTACTCAGTAACCTTTGATGAATTCGCTTCATTGATTAAGACTTGCCTCAGTGGATTAAATGAAGTGGACATAGTGATTGATGGAAAGAAGCAAGAGTCTTTAGAAGCTGAAGCTACCACAGATGTAACAAGATCAAGAATAGAAGCCCTCATTGTAATCACTCTAATTCAAATAGAAAACAAAAATGTATTGCTCTCTTTGGAAAATGAACAAGTAGGATATTTTTAATAAAATTAACTTGTCATAAAAATTATTTTTTAATTTTACTTCAAGTGCCTTTAAACTCATCTTCAAAAGACATTTTTTTTTCTCTTTAAAATTTAAAAAAATTTATTTACAATTTTTTTAATTGGAAAATAAAAATAAAAGTATTTATTATTCACCATTTTCTCACTACCGGTATTTAAGTTGTTGTAAGATTTTACTAACATTAACATAGATAAGTTCATATAATTGAACTCATTTCAAAATTATTTTTTAAACATTTTCGTGAGGAAGGTTATATAGTCTGATTACAGAAGTAAAAAAAAAAAAAAAAGAAGTATCTGCTTGGTAAACTGGTGTGCTCTAGTTCATATAATTGAACTCATTTCAAAATTATTTTTTAAACATTTTCGTGAGGAAGGTTATATAGTCTGATTACAGAAGTAAAAAAAAAAAAAAGAAGTATCTGCTTGGTAAACTGGTGTGCTCTCACATTAATATGAAACGGCATATATGTTACATACGAAATTTTACAATTATGAGAATTCAGACAGAAAATAGTGCACAAAAAATGCTTTAACTTTTTGTCATTTTATCTTTTAATGAATTGATTTATTTTGCTGTTGTTTAGGATGCATCGAGGCACACAGAAGATGTGAACAGGATCATTTTAGCTTTGAAAACTGTCACCAGTGTTACAGCAGAAATTACTGAGTGTCTGTTGAAAGGAACCATTGTGGAACTGAAGTCTGAGCTGACCCTAACCAAAATGGTTAAATTGAGTCAGGACATAAAATCACAAGAGAACTTAACTTTAAATGAAAGGCACACAATAACAGAGGCTGACATTTTTTGTAAACTCCTTGGTTTAAATCAAGAAATTGGAGAAAGTCTTTGGTCGTTGCATGAAATTCATTGTCTTCATCAAACCACACTCTACTTTATTGAGCGATGGATGAAGGAAGATGAAATTGAGGGTGAAGAAGTTGACTTAACAGGTGCCGTAAGTGGTACTGAGGTGTCAACAGGAAAGAGTGAAAAGTTTATCTCCACTGTCCAAAACCTTGGATTAACAAAAGAAACAGCCGAACAGCTGTTTTCCACTTTACCAATTGAATATATTGATCTGCAAACACCATCCTACTGGATAATAAGATACATCACAAACATCATTGAATCCCATCCTGTCTTTACTAACGTTCCTAGATACATGTACTCTGAGGATAAAATAGGGGAGTGGTTTGAAGAAAATATTGAACTTACCGAGACCAATGAAATGAGAGACACATCAACATTTAAGATTAAAATGATCAATCACGATTCAAGTGCAAAAAGCAAAACAGCGGTAGATGAATTTGTAGAGGAAATCCAAACTGAAGAAAACTGTGAAGTCCTTTTCCATGGAACTGATCACACAAGTGCTAAATCGATTATAGAGGAAGGAATACTAATTTCTAAAGGCAAGAAATACCAAGATTTTTCCTCTTATGATGGATTCTACTTGTCAGATTCGTATGAAAAAGCACTTCAATGGTCTTCTATTGGTAGAAAACACCATCATGCAGTTTTGGTGTTTAAAATTCAGAAGTCCTTACTGGAGGCTGATGGCGTCAAACGGTTAGATCTTTCTGGTGATAAAAAAGGATGGGAAGAAATTGTACAATTCTGTCGAAAAGGTTGCAGCTATCAGAAAACGAAAAGGAGATTGCTGGGTGGAGTTGAGTTTATTAAAGGGCCGATGTGTCTCAATGGTAGGGATGTGGCCAAGGGAAAGAAAGCACCAGGTGTTGGAGGCACAGAGAATTATCAGATATGTGTCAGAGATGAAGATTATGCTAAAATGTTTGGCATGGTTGAAAATATCGCTGGCATTGTTTTTCTGTAACATTTTTTATCTCTGAATAAAAAACAAATCTTTTCATATATCTAATTATGCAATATTACAAATTATAAGTGTTTTTTTTTTTTAAATATTATGATAATGAAATTTAATCCTCAACTTTGAGGAATGGGAGACAAATAATTTCCTACCAATTCTAAGCCTCAGCTTTTTTTCTTGAAAACTTATTCAAACACTATGCTATTTTATTACTTTAACTTGGTCAAGTAGTATGTTTTTTTTAAAATACATATTTAAGGTTCCCGTTTTTAATAAAGTACAGCTGTTACCTTGAGATTGTCAGAAGCCCTAGTATTTTAAACTTTACTAACAAAATAAACAGGCTAAATTAAAATACATGTATATTGTTACGATTTATGTCGTAGTTGTAGATTAAACAACTGCTTATAATTATAAATGAATTGAAAACGATGACATTTTTCTTCAGTCATCATCATCAGTGGCGGCACTACAGCCCATGTAGGGCCCTGGCCTGCTTCACCACATCCTTCCATTCGGAGCGATCTGTTGCTTTCCGCCTCCAAGCTTGAATCCCCCAACTGTTGTAAATCCGTCTCCACATCATTAATCCATATCATCCTTGGGCGACCTGTGAGTCGTCTGCCCCTAGGCTTCTGCCTGTATAAATTTTGCTGTTCTGCATTCCCGCATCCTTTCAACATGTCCTGCCCAGCGTAGTCTGCCTTTTTTTGGGATTGGGGGGGGGGGGCGGTTGGAGGTTAAGTGCTCCTGCTCAACTGTATTTTCTTCCTTAAAAAAAAACAGTACAATTTTGGCATCAAAAAACAAGTTAACTTATTCTACTGTGCAACAATTGGAAGCCTATTTAATTTCAGTATTACCAGCTGGTGTGAGAATTCATGAAATGAAACACAAAATTTTGCTGTTCTGCATTCCCGCATCCTTTCAACATGTCCTGCCCGGCGTAGTCTGCCTTTTTTTGGGATTGGGGGGGGGGGGCGGTTGGAGGTTAAGTGCTCCTGCTCAACTGTATTTTCTTCCTTAAAAAAAAACAGTACAATTTTGGCATCAACAAACAAGTTAACTTATTCTACTGTGCAACAATTGGAAGCCTATTTAATTTCAGTATTACCAGCTGGTGTGAGAATTCATGATATGAAACACAAAATAAACAGACTACCGTAATCAAGAAAGCTTAGAACATCACACAGACTAAACATCCTTCACATGACACACAGACTAAACATCCTTCACATGAAGAACTCTTTGAAGAATGATGTTATTGTAAAACTAAACAAATTTTGGCGAATCTAAGTATCTGTGATGAAGAGGGCGGGATGTATCATCCAAAATTTGTTCTATCTATATATCTATATCTAAATATCTATATATCACAACTCCAGCATGGAAATACAACAGTTTTTTTATTTACAGGATCCAATATCAATTCACAGTGACAACGTTCAATGGCGATAATACTAACTCTCTAACTACTCTCTCGGCTGGACTCTGACACATCAGTTCAACTCTTGACCCCCCGTGTCCCTCTCTCCTAGCGCAACTAACTCTTGACTGACAACTTTTGACGACTAACAATAACAATTCTTCTCTTACTCTTCTACCTTTCTTCCGACGTCTAGCTAACACACACCCCCTTTATATTACCACACAAAACAACTCAGCCTACACTAACGTTCCACACCACGGGCTAACTTCACGCACTGATCTCACGATCAACAACTCACAAAACACTCTCACGATTCACGACTCCCCCTACCCAACATTCACAACAATCTAGTTCACAACACCCTCTAAGGTTTGCTGGTTCGTGTGCAAAATCATACAGCTGTGTGCAAAATTTTACAGTCCAGAAATACAAACACTGACTTGCATGGAAATTTGCTGCGCGGATACTCAAAACTGCTGCGCGTCGTCTGTGTGGCAGGGAACATTGGTTGGAGCTATAAACATCACTTACAAATACAATTGCGCGTTCAAGATACGGAGTTTCATTACTAAATAAAATGTTAAAATGATGAATAAAAAATAAGGGTATCTTGTATGTGAAGCAACCTACATCTCCAATAAGAATATATTTAGAATCAAAGCATTTTAATTGCAAACTATTTTAAGAGGATTCTTCTTCTTCTTTTATAATATTAAGGGCCCACAATCAATTTATTGAGCTTTAATATTATGGATTTTAGATTGGAATTACGTAAGAATATTTTAAAATCTATAATTTAAATATTAAATCATATCAAACCATCGAGCTAAAACATGGCACATAAACTCGTTGGCAACACATTCTGTCAAATTTTGAGCCCAATCACCCACCGTAATCCCTAAAAATTAGTTGTTCCGGTTTTTCAAGGGGAATATGAAGGAAATATAATGCCACTGGTTTCACAAAATAAAATTCCCGATAACTGCACTAAATGTGTTTCCTTAAAAAAATTATCGCAACTGCATTTGGTGCGTAATATTTTCTTTATTTTTTCTGAAATAGTTTGTGAAGAAAATCTGTGGAGTAATAGCGGGTAGGTCATTAGGGTATCAATACAATTCAGGGGTGTGAGAATTGCGTGGTTGGGAACCTTGATGGGGGGGGGGGGGAAGCACTAATATTGATTTACCAATCATTTTATCGGGTTATTCGGTATTTTTAAATAAATATGTTACGCTCTCTTGGACAGCTTCATTAAAATAATTAATGAAAAATGGTTTACATAAAAAAAGTAGAAAATAACCAAGTTTCCTACAAGGAACAATATAAAGGAAACTACTAATAATATTATTCATAATTATAAGTTAAGTTAAATATAAGATTCGCATTTAAATACCTTTTCATCATATTATTAAAAATAAAGTGACCACTGATTCTGGAGGAAAAAGCCTCAGTGATTTGACATAATTAATTTGACAACTTTTTTGTTTTTCATGGAATAAACTTACTACAAATTTTTATTTTTATTAATTTTTACTATCTTTATTTCTTCCTTTAAAAAGAAAATAATTAAGCCAATTGGTTTAGATCTAGTGCCTCAATAGTAAAATGGTATTCTAGAAGTGTCTATATTTCTAGATTACCAAAAATGTGTCTACAAATACTTGCTTTATTTTATGTTTTAAATGTCTTTTTAAGTTATTTTTTCTTGCATATTAAGTAGACATGTGCCGAGTGGGGGATTGGTTGGTGGCAGACTGTTTTAAATTTAGATTACCGGTAAAAATTCAAGGAAATCAGGTCACGACAACCATCGCTTTATTTGCTCTTAGATTTTGGTTTATGGTAATCAGAAATAGACTAAGAAAAACCAAAGAAAAAGGTGTGAAAGAAAAATAACAATATCTGAAAAAAATATATAGAGAGAAACATATATAGATACATAAATAGTACAGTTTTTTTTAAAATGACATACATTTAAGTACCGGTATACATAACTACCCATCAGCACAGTGGATAGCTAATGGCTTATAGGTTATCGGAAGTATGTGACAGTCATTCAATTAAGCTGGGGGACAACTCTGTATTAAACAGTTTATTCAAAGGATGACAAACACGAATAGCGAGAAATAAACATATTTTCATAGCCTGCAATAAGCATATGGGATAATAAAGTTGACAGAAAAAGTGATTAATTATTATAGTATAGTAGAACCATCACAGGTAACCAGAACAATATAAGTTGTAGCTCCTTGTTGGAAATGCATGGACAAGAGTCTTTAATAAGGATGGCGCTCGGCCGTATATTTAACTATGGGGATATCATTGCTATGGTGTAGCATTAAATAAGCTGGACAAGTAACTGAACTTAAACACTACCGGTACTCAATATAAACAACAATCAACAGGAGTCGCCAATCACAAAAACCTTTTAAAATATGCTCTACAAAGTAAGGGGTACTTCAATTTTAATTCACCGCAAACATTATCATTACTGCTAGTCTATGTCTATGCAGTTACGTCCGGTTTAATAAATACAACTGTTTCTGTAGACACCATGAATTCTTGGACAATTTCTGCATTAGTTCACAATGAAGTCAGTTGTATTTTGTTTCTACAACAACACGATACTAATACATGCTGTCAGACGATGTGCTAACAACCACAAAGTTAACGGAACGCCAAAACTCAACGCATCGAACATACGTGGAGATTGGCAAGAGAGAGAAACAAAGGCACACACAGACATATGCGCGATTCTTACGTGTGCGTGTTAAAGTTAAACCAAATGGTTTGAATATCTTCAACGCCATTCTAGACGATATTGTTCAAGTAGCAGAGGACCTTTAAAAGAATTAAATATGTTTTAATACATAAGAACATTTGTTTTATTGGAAGTGTCAATAATAATAATTTTTGCGGTGAATTAAAATATGATCTACAAAATAAGGATATATCATGCGTTTAATTTAACACAAGAAGCGGTCGGCTGGACCAGTGAAATGACCAAAAACCTAATTTTGCTTGCTACAAGTCATCTCTATCAACTGAAAAATAGCGCGACGCATCAGATCCGATCTTATTTAGGAGACACGGGGAAACAAAGGCATCATAATATGTGTTCCGGCATCATACTAGCAGAGAGAAAGAGAGGGCAGGTCAAGTGTTCGTCATGTGATGCTCAATCGCCGTGCATGGGTGACCAAACAAGAGGTTAGGGCCCAGGACACAGCATTGGGTTACGTGTAATCTCTGTGGGTGTGTGTTATAGTATAGACTGGGGTTTACGCACAGCTATCAAATTGACGATCAGAGCGCAGTTTTCCCTTATCACTATTTAGTTATTTATTTTATTTATTTAGGCATTTTTATATAGCGCTTATCATAAAGCTCTAAGCGCTTTACAATTATTAAAAACATGTAAACTAAGTAAATACAAATGAGACACTAGGATAGTAACTACTATTCTATAGAAACAATGAAAATGGCTATAAAAAGAGGACACTTTGACACTTCAGGATTAAACCGAAACAGAAAATTAGGTAGGGCAACGAGGGTACATCACAGGTCATAGGCG